CCATAACTGAGAGTCTGGAGAATGGAAGTCATATCTGTAGATGTCATTTTGATTTTTAAAACACTTACCTTAGAGCCCTGAGATGCATGAAATATAATCAGTAGCATTTGAGGTTACAGGAAATTCACTGTCCCTCAGTTTCATTGTCTATATAATGGCATGAGGATTTATCTCATCCTCTTGATTCAATTCAGAACCATGAGTTCATGTAAAGGAAGGTCATCTGGTTGTGGGGAAAGTCAGCTGGGGAAGGAGCTGTAACACTTCACCTAGGCTCATTTGGATCGCTTAGAGAATATTGATATGTAATATCTGGAATAGATCGCAGCCTGGTCTTTGTACATATGACTTTATCTTTCAGATCAATATTGGTCTGAACAGACTTCAGATTGACTGAAATTAAAAGGAACTGCTGTATAACCATTTATAATTTGTGCCTCTATGGCCTGTTCGGTGTTGACTCCCAGCCCAGGAGAAATCTTTTACCCCCTCCCTCACTCCCAGCATTTACATACAGGTAGATCCTGCTCCCGATGAACACGGAGGGCAAACTTGAACAGAAAGTGAAGCGCTGAGAAGTCATGAAACGGCAACGTGCACCCCAAGGTGAGATGAAGGATTCAGGAATATTGTTGCTTGACAGTCAGAGGAAGTGGCCCCTGTTGCCATGGTGATGGAGGCATATTGCCGCTGAGTGCATAAGCAGCTCCCATGTTTTCTAATAGCAGCTGGTCAATGCCACTGCCTCCCCTGAATTGCCGCCCCCCTGAATGCTGCTTGGCCCCAGCTGTCCTGATCTCTGTTGACAAATGGCTGTCCTTCACAGTCAAACTACTAGCGGTACTCTAATTAATGAATGTGCTAATTATTCTCCCCTACTCCCAGAACATTTGTCTAACTGACCTGTCACACGCAGATCAGTACAGCATATGCATGAGCACCCAGGGCCCTAGGAGCAGGGGTCGGGGGTGAGTGGTTGGCTCACAGCCTGTAGCTGGGGGAGCTTTCTTGTTAATCACCTTTACTAATGGTCAGTTGTCTGGGGAATGTTATTTCCTGTGAGATGTATATGTTTTCCTTTCTTTTATTAAAATAAAATGTCTCAGGGCTGGGGGTCCCCTCCACAATTGACTAGCCCATGGGGAGCTTGCCAAGCGTGCATGCAGAAAGGCCAGGGAGTCCTGAGTTCTGAGAAGAACCGCAGAAGCAGCATTCAGGGTGGTTAAAAATCCAGCCTTTGAAACTAGACAGGCCTGGATTTGAATCCCAATTTTCCTTCCCTCTCTCGTGTCCTTGGACATGAGGTTTAACTTCTCTGACCTCAGTTTTGCCATTGGGGCAATGGGAGAGATAATTTGTCCCCAGAGAGGCTAATGCAAAGCTCCTGCTTAGTGCCTGGCATGAACGAGGTCTCTGGGAGTAAGCTGCTCAGTGCCTGGGCCCTGATCTGACCAGGCTTTGGCCTCAGGAGGGCCAAGAACCCCTGCAGGGTTGGCGACATCTTGTTGGGAATCCAAGGGCAGGCTGCCTCACTCCCCTCCCCCTTCCCTAGCACCCCTCATCTTTTTCGTTCTGTCTCAGCAGCTCTCTATTGAGATGAATGGCATTTCCAGAGGCTTCACCTCTGATAAGTGATCCTCTGCAGCTGCAGCCAGAATCTTAATGTGCACACTCTAATTTAATGGCCATCTCGGCTGACTGTTAAAATGCTCTCCCTGGCTGAAGTGGACTTACTCCACCAGCGCGTGTTCTCCATCTAGCAGGCAGCTCAAGGGAGCTCAGATGTGGGTGATCTACCACCGAGAAGAATCTGTGTTGGCAGAGCAACTGAACCTCCTAGCGGGTGTCTTCTGGACCTTCCTCCCTCCTGTTTGAGTGGCCCCTCAGGGCTTGGAAGCAAGCAGGAGCGGTGGCCCTTTCTGGTTTCCTGTCTTCTGCAGAGCTGGCAAGCTGTCCAAGGCATCACGGGCCAAGCATGTTGGATTATGTTGATGTGCTGCCGGTGGGAGCACAGACTTACACACCGCAAACAAACACCCAAGCACAAAGATAGTTCATAAAAGTGGGCATTTTAATCTGAGATTATAAGCAGTGGCTAGTCACAGCAGATCATGTACCTAGCACTCCTCACCTCCACCCCAATACTTCTTAAGAGAATGGTCTTCTTTGACCATATGACAACTGTGAAACCAGCCAGCTTCTTTTATTTTTGTATCTGGTTGCCATGGGGATGGGTATCTGACCTGCCAGGTAGATGAGATCATCCTGCACTTATTTGTTTATTTATTTATTTAAAAGATTTATTTATTTATGCATATAAGAACTGGGTGTATGCCAGAGGTGTGGTGGTGGAAAGATTCACCAGAGACAGAATAGGGAGCAGAACAGGTGGATCTACTGAAATACACTGCTGAGAGGAGTAACAGGAGGGACAGAAGAGGTCTGCTGCACCATGTGGATCAGCTTGCTGGCCGAGGATCAAAATCGTGTTGCAGTGGTTGCAGATAGCTTTATGTGCTGAGACTTAACCCCTTTTGCCAGAAGGGAAGTCCCGTCCTGCATTTAGATGTAAAAAAGTCAGTCCTTTACAGGTGGTAGGGCTGTAAATGTAAAATTTCAAAGGACTGCCCTCCCTGGTGGCACAGCAGGTTAAAGCACAGCACTAAGAAGATAAAGCCACTTCCACATGAGTTCAATCCCCGCCTGCTCCGGAGGTGACCACATGGCGCAGCAGACCTCGCTTGACCTGCCCGCTGCTCCCCCCAGCAGTGTACTTCCTCAGTTGCCTGTTCTGCTTCCCACTCTGTCTCTGGTGAAGCTTCTCACCGCCCCTGCGCCTCTGGCTTGTACCCCAGTTGTGTGAACAAATAAATAAATCTTAAAAAAAAAAAATTTAAGAAAAATTTTTCAGAGGACATCTTTCCCCCTTATGGAGAACACAGGTCTCCTTAGTGAGGCTAAGGCTGACAACTTAAAAGAAGCTGTAGGAGGAGAGATACTGGTCAAGGGCGATTATATGTGCCTATGTCTACATTTATATCCATATACAACCTATCCATTTGTCTGTCTGTCTAGCTATCTATCTGTTTACAGAGTCTGAGAATTCTATTTTTGAGAGAGAGGGAAAGAAAGAGAGTGAGCGAGCGAGTGAGAGAATTCTGTGGCTCCAAGACCTAAACACATCTCTGCTCACTTGTTTTCACTTTCATTGTTCAATATTTTGGATTCTTTGAATCAGTAAATCCCCCTTTCGCCCAAAGCTAGTTAGACCTAAATTTCTATTGTTTGTAACTGGATTACTTTTTGAGGAGTCTGCTTTCACTTCTGATGCATTTGGCATTAAGATTTGATAAGTATTAGAATTCATTCTTCATGGGGGTCAGTCTCCTTGTCCTTGAAACTTGCCAAACTGCTCATCCAAGGGAGATTTTGTTGAGGTGAATACACAAATCTTGCTAGCAGTGAACCTTAAGCAATCTTATCATCATTGTGTGCTTTGCAAAGTGTGCTGGCACTCAGAGAATATT